GTAACGTGTATACGAGCCAGTTTCCCTTAGAAAGTCCTCCACGAAAGGCACCCCTCCCTTTAGGCAGATAGCCCTCGTGTGCTTTGCCATAATTAAATACACCAACCCTTATTTAAGCAGCGGATTTCATTTCCAACGTTATTTCACAAGCTAAAACTCACTCACGTAACGAAACGCTGAAAACTTAACTTTAGACCGAAGTAATACTCGAGCGCGCTCTTTTCGAACCCAGATCCGACAAATCATTCTTTATAAACATAAGTAACCGATGTAGAGGACAAGCGTATTCTCGCCAGCACGCGAGAGGCGAAACAGAAAGCATTTGAGTTATTTTTATCTCTTAAAAATCAGATGAAAATAAATCAAATAATATTAAAATATACTGTTATCAAATATAACTCCTAATAAGTATTATATAATATTTTACTTTTCTAAAAATTCACTTCAACTTTTGCTGTTAGCTTCCATCATTTCCTTCGTAAAATATTACCTAATCTTCCTTTCTCTTATCTACCGAAATAAGAGTAAAAACCATTATTTTTAAGGACTGAAAACTCTAATCACCTGGAGCAGTGATGCTACACGTATGCTGTTAGAGCACTGATGCCAGCAAAATAAATTATTCTTATTTCTAAAATTCTTTGCACAATACTGTTACGCGCACACGGCTTTGTAATATAGGTTGAATGCACCGAGAACTGATGGCAGCTAGATAAAATTTATTTTCCCGAAAGAAACGCTTCTAAAATTATCCACAAAAATACTCGTACAGCTGCTCTATGTAACACAGAATAAAATCAGTAGTTATGCTTCAAACTATTAAGAACGTTAAACACAGCGAAATGCAAAGCGCATCTAAAAGGCGAAGCGCAGATTACTCTTAGGTACGTTCGACCTGCAATATTCAACGCAAAATCTAATCAAACCACATTTGTTTAGGAGCAGCACGATAGGGGAGGGCAAAGGACTTGCTGAAGGCTCGATAACGTCGTTTCTTGCATGCTGTTTAAATGTTTCCTTACCTCTTCTTGTTTAGCAATCTGTAGACGTCTTAGACTTTCTCGAGTATGGTGGACGATCTCGAGTATCAATTATGTGCTGAGCCAAACTGTTCGACCTACGTCAAAAGATGCGAGGGAGGAAACATCTTGAAATTCTTGAATGGACGTTCGGCTGCACTCACCAATTCTGCGCTTAACTCTGCATTCTGCAATATCTCCTATATTAGGCTCTCCAAAATTACGACGAGTGGTAGACTATTGGTTCGTTTAATGCAAGTCACTGGAGTACATCCTACAATCACTTCGCCTTTCCTAATAAATTTCGCTTTATCACTTACGTTGGCAAATCTTACCAGGATGACGGCCATCGATACATTGACGTTTGCTGAGGCTATTAGTACTCCTTTAGGTCTGATACAGAATTGTTATCTTATTATTTCTCAATTATACCGTATCGAAAATTTCTATATTCAGTTGTGGGTCCAAGAAGTAAAAATTCCGTTTTAGTTAGTACTGCATTGTCATCTTGAGCTAAGATTTGGTGGACGGATTTAGCTCCTTCATTTTTTAATGCCAAACAGACTTATGTCTTTAGAGGCAGAATGTAGTTCTGTTGTGTATTAATTCACAGTGCATAATGAATTAAATATTTGTGCACTAGTTCTAAATAAGTTTAGTTTTTTTATGATTTAAATACAATTCTCTATTCAATGCGCTACATTTCCTAAAAAGCTATCGGAAAGGATTTGTAAAACTGAAAAGCATACGATTTTCTTTCCCAGGCTAGTACTCTTTTCCGATCTATATGGCCAAGCTGCCTTTTCGGACAGCTGCGTCTCCCACTCCCTTTACATTGTTTCGCTCGTGGGATGCAAGAAATTTTCGACTTCTTCTGAAGTGGAAATTTTTTCTGATTTGATTGTTACTGCCGTTGTCGAAGCTGTGATAGAAATATGGTTAAAAACATTCATTCAATTTTTGCGTCAGAACAGGGTATGTTACATTTAAAAAGGGATCAGAATGTCCCTTTAAATTTAGCTGCAATCTTGTTGCTCGTAAATTTAGCTCTTTTCTCGTTGGTTAGGGAGAGTTTAAGAAATGTATTTCAATGAGTAGCTATTAATTTACATCTAATTCGAACCATTGGTGAATTTAAAGCAAGTTGTCATTTTAGAGAAGCCGAGTTTTTAAAAGTGTTTACACTAGAGGCACGAAAATATTTTCACCTTGTTGAAAATAACAAGAAAAAGGTGGGGAGAAGAAGAGAAAAGGCCTCAACCGTTCCCGGAGGCCGTCAGGCTGGCCATAGTCTTGAAGTCCACTTTTCCCTGCAAAAAGGAATTTGATGTCAACGTTTCTTCGCAACCAACCCGGTCAGGGGACAGTCAGTTGCATGAGAATAATTACAGAGTGGCAGTGTTCTCGTAACCAAAAATATAAAATTTCGTAATATACCTCAGGGATTTTAACTGATTCCTTTAAAATAATCTAAGAGGTAAGCACCATGTTTTCTGATACTTCAATTCTAGGTATAATTCGCAGAATAGCTAGTAGAATGTCAGAGGTGAAGGATGCTTTGACACCCCATTGATAAAATGCTCTTTTTGATTTCTGTCTTCGGGGAAATTTTTAGTACAAATGCTTTCGTTATACAAAATAATTCTAATTTCCGCATTTGTGTGTTATTGTGTATGGTATTTCTTTTGGAATTTTTGCACAATTTTCGATTTAACATTTCTGAGTACTTTGATGTATTTCCCTGTTCTTATTATGTTTTTGTCTTGGGTAGTATATTTTAATGTATATTATTAATGCACTGTTGAAGTTTCACACTAACCTATTATGAATTAAATTTCCGGTAATTTTTTATATCTGTTACACCAGCTCAACAGCCTGCCTGTTTATGTTACCGAGGATTTGAAATTCGCTGCTATGTGATTATAATATCTTCAATTTATGCACCTTAGAATATTTTCAGTATTACTTATTGCTGACCCCCTCGAAATGTTATTTTTCGATGAGATTGGATCCCCAAATTCGAGTATCCTAACACACCGCTGATGCACCTCTGTTATCTCACAATTTAAGAACACGTACTGTCAACAGTACAGAACGAACTTTTATGAATTACCATTACTTAACTTGCTAATAATATTTCTCAGTAGATCTATAACTTCACATACGTTAACAAGATCTGCACAGCAAAAATTAGAATAATGTATTTTTGAAAAATTCAAATGAAACGTATGATATTTTATCAGAATATCGTCGTTTCGATTTTAAACTGAGATAATTATTTGGAAAAAATAAAGAAAGAAATGTAGAAATGAATTAGAAAATGAATAAGTATGAATTTCAGTAATATAAAAATACAGCTTTAAACTTAAAAATACATTTAAACTCATAAATATTAAAAAAAAACAAAAAAGAAATTACTTCTCTTCGCTGGAAAACCATTTACTATGAATGTTGGCCTCAACACGTTATAAAGAAATTCGTAATAAATCAAGTCATTAAATCTCAAAATGCATATTGCTCTACCACAATAAAGTACTTTAACAAAACTCATCAAGGTTTCTTGGTTCAGATCTCAAAACGCAGAAACAAACCGCAGATACTGGACCTTCCAAACACTACAAACAAAAATGGCTGTAGTATAACCTCAATCTTAAAGAAACAAATGCCTACAGCAGTGGCATAATGATACACATTTAAGAAATACGTATATCCGTAAACGTTAACACAATAAATCTTAATAGAAACCCAAAAATTCAAAAAAGACACCTTTAATTCCACAAATCAAGAAGAATCACTTAAGAAAAATACCAAAAATTCCGCTAGCACATCCGTCCTGTAATGTACAAAGTGTTTAATAAATGTAACCCTCATGTCCGCGAATTCATCACGGAGAGTATTGATCTAGAATAATAGTCGGGAGTAATAAACATATTAAATATCCCGGGCCAAATACAAATAAATCTCTCGGAACCTTGCATGGACAACAAAACTAATTCCAATAGTACGAAATAACAATAGGAACCACTCAAACAATGATGGCTCCAAACTTAACCTGCTGTCGCCAGTTTCCTCTTCGAGATTTGACAAAAGTGCCGCAGCATTAAAAAACAGAGCTAATGGCTGCGTAAAACTTCCAGTTTACACTTCAATTACGCGCTGGAATATCTCCAAAATAATAAAATAGAACAACACAAAATAGCTCCTTGAAGAATAATACTCGTGTTTCGGGGAATTATGACAAAATATCTACAGTATACACGTTTTAAATGCAATTATAAATCAAAATCGCATATGAATAAGTAAGCCGTAAAAAATCGCACAAACATTAATTTCATTAATTAACATACAATTTGCATAACTTGATAGGGAACTTGTAAAGAAGTTGCCCAACACCTCTGGACCGCTGTAACACTATCTAAAATTACAGAACTTCCATACATGTATTATACATATATATTAATTCTAATGATGATTTGGCTTTTAAAGCTTTATATTGCAGTACTGTGATTCAGATATTTATGTATTTATTTTGTTCTAAACAACAACAATAACAGCATAGCATGACGAATAAAGCACTAAAATCTATTTATTAAAGTGCATTATCAAAATATAAACTCATATCCTTATAAATTTATAAATTTGTTAAGGGGTCTCATGCTTTTATTACCGAAATAAAAATTATAATAAGGTGAAAAGAAACATACTTGTTTTAAACTATATATAAATTAATTTTCTATCTACTTTTTTTTGTTCATTTTTTCTATAAGTTAAACAATGCGTATTTAAAAAAAAAACTTTTTCTTAAATATTTTTAATATTTTTTGGTATTTTTGGTCTCAGTGAGGTTATAATAAAAAAATATTCAAATAAAATAATTTTTCAGAGTGACTACTCGCTCTCTCTTGCTTCTGGTACATTCTGTACGTGACATGGACTAAAAATGCAACGATTGTTTAAAAAATTAGAAATTCTATCATTAACATTCTCTCTGTAGGTAACCCCAAAAATTCGTAAGAACAAGACACATTTTCATTCCCACCTCGTCCAAAGAAGAATACATTCTTAGGAGAAGATACAGTACCAATATGGTTGTTCCTGCTATCAAATCGCCTGTTACATGGTCCACGAGTGTTGCTAATTGGAGAGCCATGTTGCCTCATGTCCACGAATTCATAACGGAGAGTAAATGAACTGCTAGAGGTGGATAATTCGGGAGTGGTGTTAACATTGTGCCTGAAAATTAATCCCGGCCCGCGGGACAAAACTCTCATCGGGAACCTTGCATGGACGGACTGGGACGTATTCGGGGTTGTCAGCTGCACGAGCGCACACTTTAGGAAAGGTCTTCTCACAAAAGCGGTATGATGGCTCATCTGTTTTTCTTTCAGAAGTCTGTCTGTCGCCAGTTTCCTCTTCGAGATTCCCCGTGACCAAAAGTGCCGCAGCATCTCTCTTTCGAGAGCTACCTGGCTCGTAAACTTCCAGTTTTCCCACTTCACAAGTTTCGCGCCTGGACCACGGGTGCCGATCTTCGACAAAATATGATAAAAAGTAGAACCAAATCCTATCATGAGAACTAGCTCCTTGAAGACGAAAGGAACACGTCGTGTTTCCGGGAATGGTATGACGGGGATTATATACAAGTCCATGTCGGCGTTTTGAACCATCAATGATAAATTCACAACGTCCATTATGAGCTCTGAAGTTGGAGGCTTCCGTAAATCGCACTTCTACATTAATTTCAGCATAGGAATTGTGCATAACTTGATTAGGGGCACTGTAAAGTTGCACCAACACCTCTGGACCGCTGGACACTATCTAAAATTTACAAGAAACTTCCATTACATGTATTATACATATATATCATAATTCTATGTATTATTTGCTTTTAAGCTTTATATTGCAAGTACTGTGATTCAGATTTATGTATTTATTTTGTTCTAAACAACTGCAATAACAGCATGGACGAATAAGCAATAAAATCTATTTATTAAAGTGCATTATCAGAAATATAAACCATGATCCTTATAAATTTATAAATTTGTTAAGGGTGTCTCATGCTTTTATTACCCTTAATATAAAATTATTGAGGAATTCTGTGAAAAGAAACATTTATTGTTCCCATTAAACTATATTATAAATTAATTTTTCTACTTTTTTGTTCATTAATTATTCTATAAGTTATAACAATTGCTTATTTAAAAAAAAAAACTTTTTTTTTCTAAATAATTTTTAATATTTTTAATATTTTTGGTATTTTTGGTCTCAGTGAGGTTATAAATAAAAAAATATTCAAATAAAATAATTTTTCAGCAGTGACTAATCGCTCTCTTGCTTCTGGCAATTCTGTTACGTGACATGGACTAAAAATGCAACGATTGTTTAAAAAATTAGAAATTATATCATAAATTTCATATGAACTTCATTTAAAATGTCTTACATTAGTTTCCGGACACCTCTGTTTTCCGCTTGCAAATATCAGTTACTAAACTTTCAAGAATTTCGTTTTTGCACGATGACCTTCAAAGGTACAGGAAGGTCATTTCCTATATAAGATTTCTCAAAACCCACCCTATGAGGTCCATACCTTCTATATGCATACATTTTACTCCAATTTAACGAAATATAAAAATCATTTATTGCCACTCAGCAAAACTTAATATATTTCTCTTTCGAATTTAATAAACAAACTGAGCGACCTAAAAGAAGCGTGTTGCCACTACAAAAATTTCAATATTTTAAGTGTGTTAGTGTTCAGCAAAACTGTTTATTCAACCCCAACCTTTGTTCTCCAAATTTATTCAGTTATTAAGTGACAAATTAAGCGATTTAAAACAATAAATGCAAATTTATTTCAGTTATTATTAATTACTAGCTGAAAGCTAATTAACACTAGTTAGATTCATTAAAATTATATCAATAAATGCATCATATTTTTTTACACAACTTTCTAGAAGATTGTTGAACTATTAAAGCAGAATTTAAGTGTGTTCTCTATCAGTTTTGCGAATATTTCGAAAACGGGTAAGAAATCGGCCAAAATTGATGAAGATTTTCCAAGAAAAGACAAACCAATAACAAAGCAAGCAGTCATCTGTTCTTATTAAAACCGTTACACAGCGCCTTTCTAGTTACAGTCTAGAAAGTATGGAACCGTTTGAGCAGAATATGAATGAGCTGTTTATCAGCTTTTCTCGAATACTTCGAAATCCAGAAGTCGGCAAAAAGTATCTCTATCCACCTATCCCTCTTTCTATTTTGTATTAGTCTATTCTCTATCTATTTTGAATTATTATCGTCATTAAAATGATAAATAGTTAAATTTTGAACAGAACTGGTAGTTAATTTATTATGTTTTCCGATGTTCATTTTAGATACGAAGATTCTGATATGTTTCGTTAGACAAGAATTATTCCGAATGCAGACGATAGTTCTTAGAGTTGTATTTTTTTGTAAAACAAATGAATATGACAATAAACATGGTGTTCCTATACAGAACAGCAGAACTTTTGATAGCCCGAATTAATATGTGAGTAAATAATTGGCAATAATTAATAATAAATTATTTCATTACAACCATTATTCTGAGGGTATTTATTTTGTAACAAGAAAGTGTTGAAACAGAGAAAAAAATAAGATATTAGGAAAAAACGTTGCAGTGTATAGTACAAGATATATTCAAATAAATTTCAAAAATACAAGTATCCGAAACAAATATAAGCTACTGCAAAATAATTTTTCCATTTCTATTGTCTTAGTCGTTTACAAGGCTGATGCGGCACAGCAGACTTCTGCTGACACATTAAATATTTCTTGGTGATTGGAATGACAGTGACACCTCAGATTCCGTGGACCAGTCTAGTTAGAACTAAGTGGGATTCGTATCTGATCGAAGAAGATCTAGATCTGTAAGTTTAAAAACACATACTTAACATGTACTATAGACGTTTTTCTATAATCTCTTTTTTTTTTTTAATTCGGTGGCGGCATCCTCTTGGAATTGAAAATTCAAGGTTGCTGGAAATATTTCAGATTTGTTTGCAAGTTATTTGTAAATACAACAGCACAGAGACAAAATATAAACCTATGCACAACTGAAAATTCGGTTTTGAAAGCATTTTCTCATCAAAAATTATCTGTAAAATATAAATTATCTGTGAAATATAAGCTACTACTTCTCATGAGCATCCACAGTACTCTGTACTGTAGATGATCATGAAAAGTAGCTCTCTCAATAGAATCAATTTTAATCTATATCGTATTAGAAAATGCATATGCTCTGTACGCTAATATGCTGTGCATTAGTGAGTGATATGTAGAAAATGAAATTATTCCTTGATTGTTAACGTAAAAAACGCTATATCTAATTTTAATGCATTTTGCGCTCGTTCATTTAAATTGTGGACTTTCTTTTTAATAAAATAAAAGCAAGTGGTGTTTGCTTTTGGTAACAATAAACGTGTTTAAATAAGGCTACATTTTTTATTGATAAAGTAAAAAAAAATACTTACATAATTTATTTCAAATCTTGCACAAAATTTGATAGTTCAGAGAATTTCATTAGTAATTCTTCTAAATATTCATGAAAATTACATTTACAGATTGTCTGATTTATACTTATATTTGAAAAGAAATTGATTCCGTCTGTTCCAAAGCAAAATAGGTTTTCTAGCTCTAAAAAGTCTGATATATTCTTACTGATATATCCTTGAGTGTCTTAAAAAATTAAAATGACTGTAATTTCTAAATGAAACAAATCTTAAAAAATTGAATTAGGGATTTTAATTAATGGATATTATTTTGTTTCTAAAGACCATCATTAAAATACAGTTCTTATTATCATACAAGTTGATTTCCAGCAACAAACGTAATTGCTTCAATTAAAAAGAATTTATACATTTTCAAATAAGTTCTATTTACTTTTATTCCCTGGATGCTTGGTGAAATTTAAGGAGATATTTTAGTATTACATTTATAAAACTATTTGTTAAATAAAGGAATACAAGACAGAAAATAAGAAGTCATATCTGCATGATGTAGCATTAATATTAAACTGATCACAATAAATTTTAAAACAATGCTCACACCGTATTTTCATTTTATATCGCACGTTGTTATTGAAGTTAGTCTTTTTTTTTTCGTTAATTTAAAAATTCCAATAATAATGTATATTTATTATCTACTTAATCAAATTATAACAGTCTATAGCTATACATTTATTAACTGCCTGATTTGTTCTCAATATCCAATTTAACAACGCCTAAAATGTATGAAAGGAATAAGGGATTACAATTTGAATGCTATACACTTGGAACAAATAAACGGAGTACTATCTAATTGCAAAATAAATACATTTTTATGAAAAAGTTTTAGAATGTTTGCTTTCCAAAATTTCAGCGTTAGACAGTTTAATTTTAAACATATTAATTATATAATTATATAATTTAGAATTATTAAAATTAAGTTATAACTTAATAATTCTAATGGAACATTCTTGGGAACACCGAATTTTAATACAAGTTCATGTATGTTGCATGTATGTCATTTGTTGCCATTTTCAGAGCATATATTTTTACTAATCTAATTTTGCTTTAAGTGATTTTTTAGTCAAGAAAATGTGTTCACTTCGGTGTTGCACGAGCTCTATTCTGTATGATCTATTGGCATATGGCGATACGTTTGGATGTAAGTATCCGTTCTAGCCTTTACCGTTTATGAATATTTGGTCCATTTTATAGAAACCTTTCTAATATGAACTTCCACAGTCCTAGATTATTTTAGTTATATGTATCATGCCCTTGTCTAAGAAAGCATTGTTATAGGCAAATGAAGTAGTTTTATTTAATTATGATTCCACAAAGACTAGTCGCTCTGAGAATGGTCATCTTAAAAATGCAGTTGTAACAAACCCTAGACAGTCTTCCAAACCGTAGATGGGAACCAGGCTCATAAGAAGTACTACAACTGCGTGAACATTACAGAAGACTGTTCTAAGATGCGTCTCTGTTAGAGAGATGGGAAGCTCCTAAACAGGTGGAGATTTTGTCTCCGAGGGACAGGTCTGACGCATGTCATCATGGACCGATTCTTGTGGTTTCTGAATGTGTCATTAACTCTAAAATTTATTAATATTTTTAAATATGTGTAAATTAATCAATTCTATTTATGCCTATGCGTTGTGACACTAAGGAATAAAATTTCGATGCGCCATTTCGGCTGTCTTCCTAGTGTCTGGAATATTCAAGACGTACACAATCTACATTCTCATGGAGAATAATGAGCTTTTGGTGGTAAAGTGTTGTAAAAGCTCTATCTTATTGAAATATGGATTCTTATTCCTCCAGTGTCACCAGTTCTGTTGTTGACATAACGAATTATTAGGAACTGAGCTTCATCTGTTCACATAATTTTGTCCTATGATTATTCATTCAGATTTGTGGAACTACAGGACTATCGACTTCCCTGTTCTTGAATAACTGATAAATCTGCATACTACAGGTAAAACACTGATTTTATTAGTCTCTGGATATATAGATTTATAAGTCCTTAGATATATAATTGGATGTACATAACAGCAATGGCACCGTTTTCGTTGAAGCTTATATTATTTCTAGGATGTGTGCATTTCGTCGATCGTAGCAATACATTTCTTCTAGCTCAGCTTTATTTGCATAAATACTTCAAAGACTTAATTTTAATTAGAAGATTATGGAAGCAGCTTAAAATGAACCTATTTTGCGACCTTAAAACTCACTGTGCAATCGCCGTTTCAGTATGAATTTTCTCTAACCTAAATTATTTACATTTCTTCCGTTATTTTCGTAAACTCTTATTGTAATAAACAAAGAAGCTCAGAAGATTGTTCTATCAGAACATTTCTTTAAATAATATGTTATTATAGATCAGTGAAATGTCTAAATGAACACTAATGCATGTAGTGTAACTTAGGCCACCTAATATGAGCAAAAATCATCCTTTATTATTTGACATAAATTACATGGAAATGTTAAAGCAAATTACTGCAAAAATATAAACAAATGTAAGTGCATTATCTCACTTTACTTTTATTAAACCAAAAGAAAAAGCAAGAATCAGGATTTTCAGCGTTCAAAAACTATCTAAAATAAAGCGAAAGAAAAAAAAAGAAAGAAAGAAAAAATGCGACTAAGAATAATATCTGAAGTGCACAAATACATGTAATAAATTAAATTATTATATTTTATAGTTAATAAGCAATTTTTCCATAATACCTTACAATTAAATTTCTGTAATGTGGCCTCCATTTCTTTAACTATCACTGCTTTTTTACCTTGTCATTATTGTCTATTATCACTGCTTTTTTACCTTGTCATTATTGTCTATTATCACTGCTTTTTTACCTTTTCATTATTGTCTTCATTGTCATTGTCATTATCATTTGAAATTAATTATTATTGCTAGCTTCATATTCTTATTTAGTCAGTTTCTATTGTTGTTAAAATTACTATAGCTTTGTTAATAAAACCACAGACATAAATTATATCAGTATTTCAAGCAGCCAGTTACTAACAGATAAAACAATTATGCTTTCATATTAAAATGCTTACTTCTGGAAGTGTTCCAGCTCCGCAGAACTCAATTAAGAGGGGAGATGATGTGCTGGGACCATCAAATATTCGGATAACATCACTATAGCACTCCTCAGTTAACGAGACATGAGGGAAAGACAAAGGACTAGACCTTCCGGTGTAAAGAGATATCTTATATTCATTGTCCTGAGCCAAAACTATGTTGGCGTGCTTACCATGAGGTACATAATCTTGTCGAACCCAGAAATGGCAGGTAATATTTCTCAGGTAAAACCCTGGGAAATTCGGTGACCGTATAGCGCAACGTCTACGATCGCAGTCCATCAAAACTCTGTCGCAGAACGTATTCCTCACCTTAGATCCATAATAATAGTTGCTGTTGCTTGGAGGAACGGGACTTTTAGAGGCTGAAGGATGTTGCTGCTGCTCTTGTAGATGATGTGTAGATTGCTGAGCACTGACACTACCTTGATTAGACGTATCCTTTGGAAGATACTTGTAAGTCAAATATACACTGAAGGAAAATGGATGCAGAACTGCACGTCCAGGTATGACTACACGTAATGTTACGTTATTTCCTTCAGTGTAGAATGTGGCACTTTTACCAATCATATCTCCGCAAAGACGCCCAAACTCAGGACTGCCTCTCGAAATATCGAAGAGGGAAGACAGCTGTTCGGTGGGTTCTTTCAGGGCTTGTATGAGCTGGTCAAAACCTCTGGTTTGCTGGCTGAGAAGTGCATTCGTCACAGCTGGCGGTTCCAGGATTTGCAAATAGCCTTTCAGACAAACTGGTGAGAGATTACTGAAAAAATATAATAAACATACAAATCATACATAACACTTTTCATATCTTATAATAAATTTTGGGCGTTAAAAATACTAAACGAGTAAAATAAAAGTTCATTGGAAAAATACGTCTAGAGTAGTAATGTGAAATTCAAGTTCAATTCTACAAGTTGTGAAATTATTTTTCAGCTTATATCTGCACAAGAGTTTGCCATTATTCAAAACTGAACTAACATGCTTAACTCACTCAGCCTATATATTTTCTTGGGAAGAGATATTTGGATACTACATAGGCTGTAAAGATAAAACATTATCTGTTTGAATTAAAATTAACGTTGTTAGCTGGAAATGCAATTTTGACATTTATAACAAAATTCATACTGCAAATTTAGTTTATTTTGCCTTAAAAATATTTTAAGTCAGAGAAGATTGTGGAAAACCGTGATATAATGTATTAAAACTAACATCATATTGAAAAGTGCATAATTAATCACTTAGTTTAGATACGTATTCATCTTCTTTTTGTTGATATAAAATATATACTATATATATATATATATATATAAGTTTCGTGTACAGTCTCGATTTTCTGTTTTGACGAAACGCGATATGGAATTAGCTGGATTCAAAAACCATTATGCATTTCCCCTGAAGAGTCAATAATGAGATTCGAATTAGGCTAAATTACCATTTACCGCTTTTTATGTCTTATTTATTTTTGCTTATGTCTTATATAACCATTTTATTTCTATTAAAGTGAGCTGAATGAAAATCTTACAAGTAAATGCAGTTCAGGAGTTCAAAAAACAACAGAGAATTGTAAAAATGTTAAGAAAAAAGTAAAAAAAAGTAAAGGAGAGCAATCACCCTTTCAAAGTGGTTTCGAAGAAGCGAAAGCTGGAACTGTATGGAAAATACATCACCAATGTTCAATTTCGTTTGTTCGACAACGTATTCAAAATATTCTAAAATAAAATCCGGGACCTACCCCATACTCCAAAAGAAATATTCCTGATAGGAGTCTTTTAACTTCCTGGAGATTTTTCATATTTTCATAAGTGATAAAAGTTTGAATATCATAAAGAAATGTACAGAAGTGGAAGCAAGATCGAAGCTAAATAATGAAACTTGGAGCACTTCTCTTGATGAACTGGATTTCTTTATTGCAATATTATATGTTTTAGAAGCTTTCGCTGAAAAGGGGTCTCCGTCACTAGCCTTTGGTCAAAAACCTGGGGCCACAATTTTTCCGTTCCGCAATGAGCCGGAACAAAGTTTTAGAAATCATCCAATATATGCGTTTTAACTTGAAAATTTCAAGATCAGAAAGATTGAAAGGTGATAAATTTGCACTAATATTAGATGCTTGGAATATTTTCACAGAAAACCGTTTCATGTGTTACAAACCAGGAGAAAGCATTACTGTAGATGAGCAGCTTTTCCAGTCAAACACAGACTAGAATTTCGCAATATATTCCAAATAAACCGGATAAATTTTGCATCAAATTTTGGTTGGCTGTAGATGTGAGCTCAAAGTACGTAATCAACGCATTTCATATTTAGGAAAAGATGATTTCAAATTATATGATCTAAGTGTTGGCAAAATTGCTGCTTTTCCGTTAGTAAAGCCTTAGTTGAAGACAGGGCGAACTACAACAAGTGATAGCTGTTTTAAATCTCTAAAACTTGTAAGAAAACCTAAAAGAAAATGGTTTGAGCTATGTCGAAACAGTCAATAGAGCGAAAATAGAGGTTCCAAATTCCTTGAAGAAAATGAAAAAAGAATTATATTCAACGACCTACATACCACACAATACCACCATTCTTGCTTCCTACCAATGTAAAAAACACAAAAATTTACTTTTTCTTAGCACATTGCCTTCTTCATTAGAAGTTAGAAAATTAGAATGAAACTGCTGAAATAATAAATTTCTACAACTCCAACAAAACTTGGAGTCGAAGTTGTATATCACATGGCAAGGAAATATTCCATGAAATCTGCATCAAGGCGTTGGCCAATGCATGTTTTTTTCAGTATTTTAGATCTAGCGGTGATCAATACATGGGTAGTTTTTAAAGAGACAACAGGTTCTAATCTGAGCAGAAGAGACGGTATTCCAAAATTAGCGGAGAAGCTAAGAGAGAAATATATTGCAAAAGAGCCAAAAGTTATCCACGGATTATCCAAGAAGTTTCGAAGAAAGGAAAACATTGCCAGATAAAGCATTGCAAAGAAAATAAAACTAATACTGTTTGTGACAAATGTTCAAAATTTTTGTCTGGATTGTGTACAGAAAATAAAGGAACAAATACTATAGTTGTAGAGAATTTAGATATTTTGGAAGCAGGAAAGAGGAAAAATGAGCTAACGCTTTCGCCGGGAATATTTGTCATGAAACACTTTATTTTCTGCATGTATCTCCAACACAAATTAAAAATAACATCACTGAAGTCCATGGGTCAGCTATGACCCATCCCGGTAGTTCTAGATACATAAGAAATGCGGTACTTGTAGTGTTAACGTGATACTGGGTACAATTTCCTGTTATTCAGGAGCAAAAGTGAATTTAAATTTTTACATTTGCCTTGCACACCAAGTTTGAAATTCTTACAAATGAAATGCAAAAAAATGTCTTGAAAAAATTTCCACATAAACACGTTTCTTTTCGCTTCTTAAAAAATAAATAAGTTGTTATGTTTTCTATATTCAGTATGCTTAATCTTCCTTGAAATAACTCAAAATTCATATAAGCTAAATTTTGAGATGCAGAGAAGCCGAATTATTTGTATGAAAAATTATCTGAATATCTGAAAGTAAGCTGCAAGGAAAAAAAATAACATACCTGTCCAGTTCAAGGGCGCCTATCTGGAAGGACAAAAATGTCAGTTGAACAACATCTCCAAACTCTCCACCAGCCGCAACAAATGTCATACTGCACACATAAGGAAGGGATCTTTGAAATGGCGTCGTCATACGAAGAGGAGTTTTTATATTGACTTCCGCATAAAATGTTCGATTACAATCTAATGAAAATAAAAGAGATTTTAATTATTAGAGACAAACAAATTTACTGTAATGCTCAGTAGACATATAAGAAATAAACTTGGTTATTAAATCGTTTTTGTTCTTTTATTTTTTGTGATATCGTAACTTAAAACTTTATTGTCGCACTTTTTTGTCTGCCACCTTCAGAAAATCGTAAGTGAATAGACACAAAATTTGCTTTAAAAGAAGTGTATTTGCTTACAACCTTTAAAGAAATAATGAAAATAAAAAAATAAACTGCAAGCATATAAATATAAGAGAGAAGATCGAAAAGTAAAGCTCAATTCTATTTTCCTTCGGGTTAGGGAACAGAGTTTCCTCTAAGGACCTGTTTTAACTTTTTACCTTGACGATATAAAAAATAACTGCAGCTTAAAAATGTGACTTTTGTTAGCACCGTTTAAACTGAAAACTGCCGATCTGAGTCTGTCTTTTGAGTGCTGTGGGACCCTCAATCAAGCAATGTCGAAACCTCAAACAACAGTTCTTAAAAACATGATGAAACTTTAAGGTGATGATTAAGTTTGACTCCAGAATCATCTCCAGACGATACATCGTTCGATTTTTTTAAAGTCCGTTACTACATATCAGAAAACTGCCTTTTATGAACATATATACACTGAAAACAGTATTATCTTAGCCGACATCTTAGAGGTTTTTCTAAAATGTTCAAAAAAATATGATGTATGAAAGAAAATTCGCTCTGCATATGTTTTGTTGTGAGTAGCTATTATGTATTTAGATACTCAAAATTATCTATTATAGTTTTATAGATTTTGAGTATATTATCTATATACATATATATTATCTATTATAATAATTTATTTATAACATAATTTAAAAATATATTGAGATATATTATCTATTATAGATTTTGAGTATCTATTATAGTTTTGTTTTGAGTATCGATTTCGGAGGTAAAAGAACAGTGTGCTTAATTTTTTAAGCCTCCATCGCAAAGCAATTTTAGTTCAACACATTTTATTCAGATTTTAAGAGAAAAGTTTGATTTCCGTAAACTGAATTACTTTAAAAACATTTCGCTCATCACTGCCACAATAAGCATTTGGAATGTCTTCATGGACTAACAAACACTCTATAAGTTTTCAGGCAAACGCTGTGATTAAATTTCGATAAATTAATTTTCTTATTCTATATATATCCTTTTTTCTATGCGTTATATACTATCAGATTACATTATAGTATAAAATGTGAATTTAGATTTTTAGGCTTGAATATAAATAGAGTTTGATTAAAATGAATTTAATTAGAAAGTTTTTTTCTTCCTTCGAATAAATGTAATGTGATGCAGGAAGATCACGTCTCCATTTCCAGATTCCATATTAATAATTAAATCATGTATGTTCCCTTAGTCAGGTGAATTTGTAAACGTTAATCAAAGAAATGATGTCTGAGAGGTAAGGTATACGCTGTTTCCTCTTTCAAGTCAGTACCAATTTGTACTTTTCAGCCCTTAATGTGTACTCTGTATAAAATAGTAAGAATACTACATTTCTTTCAAGGTAATCATATACCTTATTCCCTCGCGTATGTTTTCTTCTTGAATATTTCCCTCCTCTAACACTTAGCTTCGGAAGCTTCCTGTAACACATAGCAGTAGCTTCGGAAAATTAAGTCCTATTCGCATAATTTTAACCTTCCTCAGTACAACCAGAAAACGAACTCCCCTAAGTTTCAAAAAAGGATTTATTTACGTAGTGATTGTGATCACTTACTGAAGAGCTTACTGATCTCCTTCCAAGCTTTGTGAATTAAACGTATTCGATGATTTACATTTTGCGGTATTCATTGGTGACCATTAATTCCCAACATTTCGGACACAGGGAAAAAACATCATTATTCCAAGTTGTTGTCTCAAAATCCGATGAATCGTTTAAAAAACCATGAGTGAAGATATGGATAGGTCGCTGAACACTAGCGATTTGACTTAGGTTCAAATCGTAGCGACCGGACTGCCTACATAACCGTTTTTCTGGTTTTCGCTATGTGAATACAAGCCAATTTCCCTTCTAGGAAAGCATTCCTTTCACTCGGCGGATGACCTTCGCCCATTTTATTACAATCAAATAAACGGCAAAACAAAAAACACGTTAAAAGCTTTTAAATATATGCAATAGAAAACCAGTTAATACGCAAATATTCAATTCTTGCGTGTACGAATCACACGGGAACCCGGAAGCAGGTAAAAAGAGATTTTAAATATGTTCCAAAATGCGCTACATGAAATCTTCTTCTTCGATTATACATGATATCCGATGTATAGTCATAACAACTAATATACAGTGATATCGTTAGTGATAGCGATTCTACATTGCATGGCCAGTCAACTTCCAAGTCGCATGCAGTATTGCAGCACAAGAAGGAGAATACCCCGTCAAACTGTGGCTGAACATTAGAATTATATGGCGTTATGTACTCGAAGAAAATCATTTAAATGGCCTATACAACACGTAACAAAAAGGGCATTTATTTGCTGTCCAATCCATCAAATTTAGCGATTCAACAATGGTTCAATGTCTTTTGTTCTTTGAAGATAGTCGATTCAGTCTTAGATCGGATTTCGGATATTCAATTCATTTGCAGATTAAGAATATAAGCTGGAAAGTGCATAAGAAAGTTATCACTATTGTGGTGCTGAATACATGGTGCGAGATGGTAACATGATTATCTAACGTATAGAGTTACAGGTGCTTAACGATAGACGCTACAGTTGCTTAACAATATAGTGCTACAGCTGCTTAATGATAGCACCATAAAAGCTGATAGCAACTGTGAAAAGATATTTCATCACTTATTCGACTTGCTCCGTGGTGCCAAATGCGATGTATTATTTATGCATTATAATATCATGCCTTATCTACTTCAGGTATTTGAAAATCTCTTCGAGAGTGAAGATTTCCGTTGAATCGACAAACCTGTATGCTTCTTAGACCTCTGCTCTTCTGAGTACAAACAGGACACTAATGGAGACTATGACGTTTGCCGGAACACATGGGAAAGCTCCGAATGTGAAATAATGCAGTCTGCCGCAGAGAAGCCTTAAATACTTAATAATGAGAGTGTCACGACTGACAGAGCTCTATGCGGGCATATTCCGTGTTGAGAAACAATATTATCCGACCATCATTAAATACTTTTTGTTCGTCTTTCAAATGTACTTAGTTTTGATGCTCAAACTTTAAGATTTGCTAAAATTCATTTGATTTGCCTTATCTTAATCTATGGATTTTTTTAATGAAATAAATACCTTATCTTATTTGTCTCCATTCGTGTGCAATGTTTACAGAGTAAACAAAAATATTGGTTAGTTTGCGTTACTAAATGTTATTTCATATATTTATTTAGCGCAAATATTTAACTTTTTATGTTTTCCAAAGTTCTTGTTCATGAAAGGAAAAGGGTACTTATTAATTTTAATACAATGTATAAATAAGTTACTTCTAACAATATTTTATATTTCGTATTTAAATTTATCTCTTATACTCTGGCATTCTTCAATGTTAGACAAGAAACTAATAGTTTATCAATAATATCAGTTTTTGCTCCTGTATTTAAAATGTTATGAAATACTTTGAGAAGTGATGAAAAAAATGTATAACATAACAGCAAAAATGTGCCTGTATTTTCAAATTTTTATAATGTGATGAAAAACGAAAAGAATGTTATGGAAGTCCATTTTGAATTATATGTATTTTAATCATATAAAGCAAATATGTGTAGTACATACATGTATATATATGTGTGTATGTGTAAGATAAAAATAATGTAAAAATAAATTGTAATATAAATTAGCAATAGCCTCTTAATGCTTAATCTGGTATTTCCTCTCTCATTCTAAAAATAGTAATATTTTTCTGCACTGCTTCATTTCCAAACTAATCCATGTCTTGGTGATGTAAATGGATCTAAAGCTTGTAAGGTTTATATTTATTTTAACTAACATTTATTTTAAGTTTAAACTATCTTTCCTGTCAAGCCTTACTTTCCCCTGGAACTGCCAATGCCAGAGTATGTAAATTTTAGTAGAACGTGCAAAAATTATCAGCGGAAGTATTCTGAGTTAAATAGAAGGGAAACGAGTTCGAAAGGGTTCTTTCTTGCTTCACGAGTGTGGAGGTGGCTAGTTGAATTGAAGAACCAGCGTTTCGGCCTGTGTGCTGCCTCGGCGGCAGATTGTTAATCTTCACGTATATTCAGAAGTTTTCTGAATTATCACGATATTTTAGAACGCGTGAGGTTAGTTACGTTTAGAGAGCCTCGTAGTTAGTCACTTTTTTATTATCTCTTTTCAGTTTTCTTATTTTTATTTTACCGGGTCGGCGTAGTTTGTGAGCGTCAAGAGCATGCATTTGTAATTTCTAAAGTTAAATAAAAAGGGATTTAAACCCTTCTCAAGACTTTGGTCTATTTCCAGTTCTCAGCAGTCACCACTTTGTTGCGTGCAGGTTGGAAGCGCGCAACTTTACAAGCTCAAACAGCCAATAATATATATACAGCAGTATTAATTATCCAATCAAAATGCATTGAGAACCAAAACTAAGTCTGAATCCAGATTTCATTTTGAATACAACTGTACTTCCTTTCTACCCTTCAGCTTAGATGAAATGCTGCCTGCTATTTTCTTCTTACTGCAAAGCTGTAAAAAAGTAAACTATATGGGCACAACTAGAGTATTAAGTGTTTGGCCGCAGCGTGTTTACTGAAATAAAAATGAAAATGTAACCTGCCTCGGCTGCCAGTTTCCTATTCATGATGGATAAGCATTTCAATATTCTACGCTATCGAATTTCCTGCTGTTCATTACATAAATATGCAAGGTATTTGAAAAAAATGCTTTTGGGGTCTTTCTTTAAATCTCATTTTAAACATTAAGAAATTAGCAAAATTTCAAAATAAAAATATGTTTTGAGAACAGTTTAGTATTTTAAGGCGTGATCAAAAACAAAATCAAACTTTC